TATGCTTTCGGGAGCGGTACGCACCCTTGAGCGTTTGCGTTCATATCACTTGATACACGTGAGAATAACGCGATGTTAAGAACATGAGCGTATACGCACGCAGGCGGGACGCCCCGCGCCCGCCGCGCCGGCCGGCGGCGCCCGGGGCGCTGCCGGGTTCTCTCTCTCGTTCGTTTTGACTCGGTAGCGACCACAGATGGTGTGGTTTGTCGCGCCGAGTAATGCTCGCCCTGGTTGAAGAAATGCATTCCCTCCGCGCTCCACATCGTTAACGACAACGGTAAACTGAAACGACGTATTTGTATAGTGTATGTGTATATATACAAATATTGCTAATTATGTTACTACCATAGTAGTATAGTAGACTGTGGTGATGATCGATGGTGATCGATGGATCGATGGATTCGATGGATCGATGGAATGCGATGCATCGATGAAGATGTCGATGGATCGATCGGGTGATCGATTGATCGGGTGATCGATGGATCGATGAATCGAGGCATCGATGGATCGATGGATCGATGGATCGCATGGATCTATGAATCGATGGATTCGATGGATCGATTGGATCGATGATCGATGGATCGATGGATGCGATGATGATGGACCGATGATAGATGGATATGATGGATAAGATGATAGATAGATAGATAGTCATAATAAATAATTAAGCATGCGCACGTGGCGCTTGACGCTAACACAGAAAAAACACGGATAACCTGTAAACAATTACAATGCTAACCTGCGTCCGATGTAGAGGCTGAATATCGGTTCCGTACTGCTCCACTCAGGCTTCGGGAGGTAACGTCCCCCATGTGGCCGGCCCAGCGAGACGAGGGAGCCGGCGACGGGCCAGCCGCGGCGTCCGGGCGGCGCTCCGCGGCTCGCTTCACGTAGTACGATGCACCGAGTAATACTGATCGAGTGCCTGGTTAGAATGCTGGTGTACACAGCGATAGCAGCGGGTAAGTGCCGATGGTAATTCTATGCAAGGCAGTCTCGTCCGAGAAAGAGCAAGGAGGAAAGATGCTCACGTCCATTTCGGGATGTGTGAAGAGGAGCAAATTTAATTAACGAATTTCGCTGCTGCGATAGCCAGTGTTACATTCTAGATGATGTACATTACATCGCCACATCTCCGCTGTTTACTTACAAGTTAACAGGTAGCAACACACCGTTTAATTACAGGCTGGAAACGTAAGATTACGCAGTTCAATCATAGATAAAAAGATAGGATAACACAGGTTAATCACAGGCTGAAACATAAGATGACGCAGTTTATTCACAAGTAACAAGTTAGGACAACAGAGTCTAATCACAGGTTATAACGTGGGGTAACGCAGTTTAATATCAGGCTATAACGTGAGGTAACGCAGTTTAATATCAGGTTATAACGTGAGGTAACGCAGTTTAATATCAGGTTATAACGTGGGATAGCGCATATTAATCGCAAGTTAAAATGTAAAGTAATTCAGTTTCATCGCACGTGAGTAATCGCAAGTTCCAGACGTTATCACTCGTACGGCGTGAGGTTTTGACATCATTGTGGATTACTGTCGTGCGTCGAAATGCAACAGATACGGATTTGCAATCCACACGAGGCCCAAGGTTCCATCCATAGACGGATCGGTAACGCCATCTGGTAGCTTGATGTCGAAGTTCTGAAGAATGCTTGTGAAGAATATGAACAGCTCCACTCGCGCGAGTGTCTCTCCTAGACAGACTCGACGACCTGTCGGCAAATAACAGACACCATCATCACGGAGGTTCATTAAAGGTTGGATGGTAGAGAGAGGGGGTAGTCTTGGCGTGACAATAAATTCTGAGGTTTAGGGTTCGAGTCTC